ATTATAGAGTTGAACAGAGATGCCAGGTTACTGCATGCAGCTAACAAGGAAGAATGCAGGGTTCACAGGACACAACTGGATCAAGGAAGAGGCTTCAGCTAATTTCCGTGGAGCTATCTCTGCAGAGAAGCCGTCTGCAGGCTGTTCCCAGGGAGGAGAAAGCTATCCCAGACATTTTCTACGAACACTGTCAACATTCACGCTCAGATCCACAAGGCAAGCTTCGTCATTGCCCTCTGAGCCTCGCTCTGGGAACAAGGCTTTACCATTCCTCTGTGAGTCTGAAGCTATGGAACCCTGGAGATGGCCAAGACCCTGTCAGCAGTACCCACTCACTCATCCAGAGCTTCCTCCACTCTCTACACATAGGGACCGGTTTGAACAAGGGTATGCATGAGCCTCAAGGTCCAAGGTCAACCTCGAACATTGTCCTCTAGTGTTCTTCATTTTCTTTTAATTTCTCTGTGTGTGTGCGCGCGCGTGCATGCACGCGTACGTGTGTGTGTGTGTGTGTGTGTGTGTGTGTGTGTGTGTGTGTCTAGAGGCCAAAAGTCAATATCATGTGTCTTCCACAGTAAGTCTCCACCTTAGTTTTTCTTTTGACTTTTTGTATGGAGAGGGAATGTATGTTCCAACATGTGGACTCACACACGTGGGTGCATGTTTATGTCAAGGTCAGAAGTTCTCACTGGGGTTACAGACAGGCCATCACGCTCATCAGACATTTGTATGGGTGCGGAGGGGGCTAACTGTAGTTCTCATATAGTACGACAAGTACTAAGCCATCTCCTTGGCCCAAAAAATATGGGGTTGTTTTGTTTGTTTTGCAGTGCTGGGGATGGAACTTCAGACAGGCATGCTGGGTCAGTGTTCCATAGTGAGCTAGATCCCCAGGGCCTCTCACAAGGTCCCCAAGGAGCACATTAATATAACTAACCCAGCTGATCAGTGAGCTCCATAGACCTGCCTGTCTCTACTTCCCCAGCCCTGAGCCTACAGGCCCACACTACAGTGCCTGATTTTATGCCATGCCAAGAATTCAAACTCAGCTCCTCATGCTTGTGTGACAAGCACTTTACCAACCAAATCTTCTCCATGGCTCAACCAAACCATGTTTTTTGATTGTTTGTTTTTTAACCAAAGGGCTTCCTGTGGAGAAGAAAATTGTGGAATGAGAGACAAGCAGAAAGCAACTATGCCAAACTGTGAGTCTAAGCAACTGGGAAAGCACACACTGTGTGTGGCCCACTTTTCTAAAGGAGCTTTCCCTATGTGCTGCTGCAGACAGTGTTGAAGAACAGAGTGTACTACAGGAGTAGGTAGCACCTAGCTGCCGGGGCATGCAGGAAACCCTAAGGAACTGGTATACAGGCAATGGAAGCACCCTGCCTAGTGGGCTCTCTGGAGGCAGAGGCCCTCAACTCTGAAGCTCCAACAACTGCATTGACATCTGGGAAGAATCTTTAAGAACACCAGTCCCAAGTCCTGGGGTACCGAGAGAAAAATGGGCCTTAGTGTTTTGGAGAAGTAAGTTAGGACTTGGCTTCTTGAGAGAACTTGGAGGTTAGGTGAGGGTTCTGTCTCTTTTAGGAAATAGTCATAACCATCATAGCAAAGACAGACCATGTTTCTGTCTTTGGCAGGGGCAAAATTCTGAGACTCCGTGGCTTCTGGAATCTCCTATGGCTTTGGCCTCTCCTTATCTTGATGGATGCTTGCTGGTCATATTGGAGGCCTCTGTTAGTAAGAACCAAAAGCTGGCCTGCAGGGAAAGGAGGAAATGATGCTGGAGGGATAAGAGGCAGGGGGATGGCAGAGTCCAGATTGTGTGGTGTGTCTGTTATCTGTCAAGTTTGACAACGTAAAAAGCAAAGATTCACAGATCACCCAGCCTACACACACACACACACACACACACACACACACACACACACACACACCTGGGAACAGCTCAGCTAGCAGTTCTGACTGCATGTCTGTCAGATTCTCCTGGGTGGCCACCAGGCTGGTAGTGACAGGGACAGTGGTCTCTGGAAGCTGTTGTTCCCAAGGGCTTGTCTTCAAGCCATACCCACGGCTATAGGAGCGAGGCAGCCCCTCATCCATGAGCATCTCAGTGGCTGCTGTTGACTTGGCTTCTCTCAGAGGGAGTGACCAGACAGGCAAAAGCAGCCAGGAATGTAGATTCAGGATGCAGTGTGGCACCTTCTAATTCTTCCTGGTTAGCTGTGTGTCAACTTGATACAAGCTACCACCATCTGGGAAGAGGAACCTCAACTGAGAAAACGTACCCATCAGATAGGCCTGTAGGCAAGTCTGGGGCGGGCATTTTCTTGGTTAATGATTGATATAGGAGGTTCCAGCCTACTGTGGGTGGTGCCACCCCTGGGAAGGTGGTCCTGGGGTGTGTAAGAAAGCAGACCAAGCTAGCCACAAAAAAAAAAAAAAAAAAAGTCAGTGTGATCTCTGCTTCAGTTTCTGCTCAGGGTTCCTGAATTGGCTTTCCCTGTAACCTAGACTGTAAGATGTATGCTGAAACAGAACTTTCCATCCCAAGGTTGGTTTTGGTCATGGTGTCTATTACAGCAAGAGAACACAAACTAAGACACAAGCCAAACTTGAAAGTAGGATGCTTGTTTCTCGGTGGCGTTTAGACTTTACGAGCCTCCTGGAGATCAGTAAGGCAAATGCTTTGTCTGTTGGTGCGATGGGAGGTTATAGAATATCTATGGGGTGCAGCCAAAGGGAGTCACTGGGGTCACAGGGTTTGTGGGGACTGTTGGACCCTGGACACCTGGCTTCTCACTCCCTTTTACTTCCCTAGTAAGGTGAAGGGTTTGCTCTACCACACATCCCTCAGTGACCATCACAGGGCCAAACCCACAAGCTAAGAAGCCTATGCTCTGACAAGCCTGTCACCTTGGGTATTTTGACAGTAACAGGAAACAGGTCAGCACGTCTTTGCCTATGTGACTAGTCTCCGAAGGCAGGGTCTTGGAGCTCAGCTGGGGGTGGTAAGAGGACTCCTGCCTAGGACAGTGTCCACACCCCCATCTCAACCCTAAGAGTGGATTGGCCGGCTCCTGTCTACTGCTTCAGCAGGCCCATCTCCTCTCGCACCTCGTCTGCATCGTCCTTGTTCATGTGTTGTGCCCTGGGCATGCTTCACAAATTAATTCTTCTTGTCGGATGAGAAAACGAACTCGCAGAGACAGACCCACCACGGGTCCTGTGGCAGGGAGCCCATGGGTCAGATAATAGGAGAGAGCTTGTGACCAAATACAGATAGCTCCATGTTGCGCACCAGAACAATTGTAACTAGAAAAGCCATAGCCCCTTCCCTGTGAAGTGAGAAGGGCAGGAGAGGGGACGGGCTTCAGCCCAGTGCTTCACACATAAACAGGTCATCATAGATGAAAGCCTTGCTAGGAAAGAAAGGGCAGCGCAGGAGAACCCAGAGAACCTGGTTGGCCGCGGACCCAGGACGCACCTTCAGGAGGAGAGTGGCTGGCAGCTTGTCAATGGGTCAGAAAATGGCGACCAACCTCTGACCTCTCTCCGGGCTAATCTTAGCTTGAGAGACCAGTGAATCACTAACTTTTTTTTGTCACAAACACAGTCAATGCTTGAGAGTAAAGAGTAAAAGATAGAACCCTGAATAAAACCACGAAGGCGCCCTCCCGCCATGTGCTCTGTGCCCTGCAAGGTGTCTTCTTACAGAACTGTAGAGATGCCCAGAAACAAGCATCTAATTATAGCCCAGCCATCTGCGGAGCTAAAACAAGGGGCTCATCAACACTATCTTTCAGGTTTTTCACTAAGTCAGAACAATCTGCTAAAAATATCCTGTACTGTATCCACAACGCCCCCAAACAATGTGTTTTCCCGGCACCGCAGCCTGCCAGATCCCATAGCTCTGGAAGCCTAGTAGGAGCAAGAAGTCCAGCTGGCAGCCGTCATATCCTTTTCTTGCCTGGTTTTCATCCTGAGTGTCGTCACTGGGCAGTAGAGGACAGGGCTGAGGGAAAATTAGGACCAGAACTCAGTGTACCACAGCCGTCCAGGCCGATGCCTGCTGGGTGAGTCTCCTAGGAGCTTCTCAGGGAGCCTGGGCCAGGGGCCAGGTCCTCAGTTTCAGGAATCCTGCTGGGTCTGCTGCTGCCATATCCCCAACCCCTGCATAAGGGACTCCAGACACTACTGTGTTGCCTATATAGAACCTCAGTGTGAATTAGAAAAACAGACAACCTTATCTTCAAAAGCCACTTGCATTCTGGACTGGACACTTTTTGGGCAATGCATAACTTATACACCGTGTCACACTGCGGCTTCCATAACTAGATTTTCCCCTTTTTCCTTTTCTTTTTTTCTCTTAAATTTCATTTTATTTCGGGGCGAGGAGAGATGAAAGGGCAGAGGACAGATATGGAGGGTCGGGGAAATGAATGGGATGGAGATGCATGATGTGAAAGACACAAAGAACAAATAAAAAGAAAGCTTTTAAAAAGTTAAGAAAAGACATCCAGAGCTAAGGAGATGGCCCGGTGGATAAAATGCCTGCTGCACAGCATGAGGTCCTCAGTTCGAATCTCCAGCACCCGTGTAAGAGCCAGGCAGTGTGCACCTACAATCTCTTTGCTAGGGGACAAAAATGGGCAGATCTCAGAGGCTCACTGGACAGCCAGTTTAACCAAATGCCAAGCTTCAAATTTAGTAAGAGAGACCCAGCGTCAAAAATTAAGATAGAGAAATTATAGAAGACATTCCCACTTCAACCTTGAGCTTCTATTCATGCCAGTCAGCAAGGGTGATCAAGCCCATACATGTATACACAGCGCACACGCATGTACATATGCACATTAACACGCATTCATGCACACACCAACATAGCTAGTAAAAACAAATAAATAGGAGAACAAAAGATATGCAGATCCATTTTCCTTTACTATAAATGACATAACTGAACCTAGTTAATTTATGGAAAGAAGAGGTTCATTTAGCTCTCTGCATTCTGGAAGCTTAGGGCCTGGCATCAGCTCAGCTCTGGGGAAGGCTGTCAGAGTCTCAGAGCAGAGGCCCAGGGGAAAAGTTACAGGGTGAGGCAGGGAGTGTATTTTCCCAGAGTGGTCTCTGGACATACAGTGGATGACTGCGTGCTGCATACTGCTCTGTTAATGATGAGGTCTTCCATGGATCCTCGGCAGTAACCGCTGTGAGAGACCGAGGCGCAGTGCCCTCCATCTCTGTGTGCTGTGACCCCAAGGAGCACCCTTGGGTCCTCCTCTCACTACAGATCCTGGGAAGTATGAGGAGTGTGACATGAGACGCTCGGTGAGGACGGGAGTGTAGCGTGATGGGTGGTGAGGTGTGACTGCTGAGGTTCTTAGCTCCAGACTTAGCAGGCCTTGCAGAGCCACCCTGTGCCCTGGGCATCACTGGGTACCAGCCCGACTGGCACCTCCTGAGACTGCTGAGTACGGCCGTCTATTCCTGAGCATGCAACATCACGCCTCTGTGTGGTGTGTTCTCTGGTGACAAGATAATTCCCGAGCCTGGGAAAGTTTAGTTAGCTAGGAATTCTGGTGGAGATGCTGGTCTGGCCCGACAGTCGAAGCATCGCAATGACACCGGAGCACTTGTGGAAGGAAGAAAGTTGCTTAGTGGATGAGTCTGGCCTATTGATTCACTGTGTGAGAGGTCCCGAGAGTGCTGTCTAATCCTGTCTGAGGACAGTACCCAAGGGCCTAAGTAAGGGCTTCCCACCAGGTTCCACTTCCCACAGTCTCCCCACCTCGTGAACTGAGGAGCCGGCTCCCGACGCTTAAACCCCAAAGGGACCCTCAGGCTTCTACTAACTGTAGCGCCTCCAAGACCCAAAAGGCACACTGAGCCTGTGCTTCTGCCCTGGGGCTACAATGCACTATTATTGACCCATCCCTCCTTGGGCTATGGCTGTCATGTACCATGAGCAGGGCAGGGTTCTCCTCACCTCCAGAGAGTACATATTCCACTCCATCCATGGTGCCTGCCACCTGCTGCTGTTCAGGTCTGGTTGCCATGGTCTCATGTCCTGTGTGGAGATCAGCGATCATATGGTCCCATACTTTCCAGCAGCTCCAGTATAAAATCTAGTGCCCCGAGGAAACTTGGGACTGTTCTGGCTCCCTGCATAGGATTGCAGGCTGCCTGGGCGGGGGGTCCTCCTTCTAGGGTAGGAAACAGTATTTATCAGATCAACTGCCACCAAGCGCCCTCCAGGGAGAAGCCCCATGCGGCCCATCAGCTGTGACTGGGCCATAACCAGGTGAACTTTTCAGCGTCTGTACCTTCTCTGTGTCTTTGGTGGTGGACGCTGATGGTTTAAAGTACAGTGAGCTAAGCTAAGCTCACTAGTATCACCGGTGAACTGATCAGGAACTACAGCAGTCTCACAACAGAGACTGAGAGTCCTAGCCTTACCGTCACGAGGAGGGCAGCACCCACTGAGGGCCCCTCTGCCCATTCCTTACCATCATGAAGAAGGCAGCACCCACTGAGGGTCCCTCCACTCATCCCCTTACTGTCATGAGGAGGGCAGCATCCACTGAGGGCCCCTCCGCTCATCCCCTTAGACAGAAATCATTTTGTTTACCCTCTCAGCTATCGGGAGAACCCCAAAGATGTCCATTGGTCATCAACCCTTTCCACCGGCCAAGGAATAAACCTGTGAGTTCTGCCAACGGCTAACGCCTGCTCAAATTAACCACTCAAAATCCAGGCCAAGGGCTGGAGAGATGGCTCAGAGGATAAAGCCCACACCACACAATCATAGGGCCTGCATTTGAGCCTCGACATATGAAGAAGGATGCTTAAAAGAAATCCCATGCTAGCTCAGAATTGAGAATAATAGATGGTTATTTATTTAGGCGTAGACTCACAAATCAATATCCTCTGCTGGAATGGAGAACAGCAACCGAATCCCGCAGCTGGAAAAGAGGCCGACGATGCACACGTGCTTTACGTCAGCATAAATAGCATAAGAGGCCACGCCCCAGTGGGCTGGTACTTAAGGGCTACCGGCTGTAGGATTTCCTACAGCAGACATACCCATAAAAATCCTGGCATGAAGCACCACAACTATAATCCCAGTGGTGGGGATGACACCACAGATCACTGGCTAGCCAACCTAGCTAAACTGGTGAGTTCCAGATTCTGGAGAAAACTTCTTAAAACTACAAGGTGGAGGTCAACTGGGGAAGACAACTGACATTGACCTCTGGCCTCTAAATGCAAATGTGCAAATGTGAATGCACACCTGTTCACATACAATACCCGTGCAACTCACACACACGCACACACACACAAACACACACACACACACACACACAGAGAGAGAGAGAGAGAGAGAGAGAGAGAGAGAGAGAGAGAGAGAAGCCAGATCATGTGCCTAGTGCACAGACCCTATAGTCTCCTGAAAAACCTGACTGGCCTCCTTTTCCATGCTAGAGTCACCTGAGTGAAATATCATGATCCTTCTGAAAGGGCTAGATGAGTCATGACTGTTTGCACTCACCAAGGGGTGGGGAGCTGTCCTCCGAGACTGTCCTCAGGGGCCCAGCAAGGATGATCTGACTATTTCTCCAGCCCTTAAGTTGTGGGACATTGGCTTAGGAATAGAAAGGGGACACACAGCCATGGCCTTCCATAGCCGGTTTTGCATCTGCTTCCTTTAACACTCTGACCTGTTGAACATCCAAACTGTTCACATTAAAGTGTCCAGTGAGTCGTTCCCAGTGTCCTCACATGGTTGCCCAATCATTGTCACTATCTAATTCAAGGACCCCTCCGTCACCACAGAACAAAAGCCTGGGCTAAAATGGCTCCTGGGCCGCTGTTCATCCTCATGCTGTAGTTTGGGTCTGGCTTGTCACCCAGCAGGGGGTGGACCTTTAAAAGGTGGAGCCTCTAGGAGCCTGATTGACCCTCCTCTGGTTCCCCTTTTTACCATGTGTCCTCTTTTTCTTTCACAAGCTCCCCTCAAATGCCATCTGCCAGCCAAGGGGACTCTCAGCAGTGGTGGTACGGATGGGGCCACCTGGCCATGGGTTTTCAGCCTCTACATCTGTGAGCTAGAAAAAAAAAATGTATATCTTTAAAAAACGCACAGCTTCAGGTGCTTCATTATAAGTATAGAAAACTGACTTATGTACTGTGTATGGCTTCCCCCAGAAAACTGACTCTCCTAGAAATGAAATCACACAAATGAATGCCCTTCTTTTCGTTCTTTTGCCAGCAGGATATTTTTGAGGTTCATCCGTGTCAAAGCATGTACGGGTACACTGTTCTTCTTTAGGGCTGACTAACATACATTTCCCGGTGTGGGCATGCCATATCTGCTTCTGCATTTGTCCTGCAGTGAACGTTGTATTCTGATTTCTTTTTTTTGGTTTTTCGAGACAGGGTTTCTCTGTGGTTTTGGAGCCTATCCTGGAACTAGCTCTTGTAGACCAGGCTGGTCTTGAACTCACAGAGATCCACCTGCCTCTACCTCCCAAGTGCTGGGATTAAAGGCGTGCGCCACCACCGCCCGGCTTCTGATTGCAAATATAGGCAGTGTCTTAGTGGCTGCCTGCCTCCTGGGCCCCAGAGAACACCTCTTCTACTGTTCCCTGCAACTCTGAAAATCAGGACACTTGCACCTTTCTCCTTGTTTGCAACTTAGAACCCAGTATGCTAATCACACCCACCTTGAGGAATCAAGGTGAGGTACCCCTAAGTGCTACTGCCTGACCCTGATCTCATGGATCCTGGGAGCCCTGCTCTGGGATGGTATCTTCTATCCTTAAGTCTGAAGGTGAGGGACAGCCACCCTGAGCTCAATGATCCCAAGTGTGCTCCCATCAGCAGTGTGCTCCAACTCTAAAGTTGTGTGCTTGGAGTGCTCCCCTAAACAGTGTGCTTCATCTCTGAAGTCATGTGCTCGGGAGTGCTCCCCTCAACAGAGTGCTCCAAATCTAAGGTGGTATGCTTGGGAGTGCTCCCCTAAACAGTGTGGTCCATCTCTGAAGTCATGTGCTCGGGAGTGCTCCCCTCAACGGTGTGCTATAAATATAAAGTGATGTGCTTGGGAGTGCTCCCCTAAACAGTGTGCTCCAACTCTGAAATCATATGCTCAAGAGTGCTCCCCTCAGCAGTGTGCTCCAAATCTGAGGTCCCAAGCTCAAGAGTGCTCCCCTCACTCAGCAAGTGTGCTCTGAATTGCAAGGCCCTGTGTTCAGCAGTACCCTCACTGTGAGAGTAGGAGTTCTTGGGAGAGCTTCCTCTGCAGGGCACTCCTTGTCACGCGGCTTTGTTCTTGGAAGTGCTTGATTTTATCAATATGTGCCTCAGGGGTCCAGTGCCTACTGATCAGCCCAGCTTCCCTCACTGAAAGGAGTAACCAGAGGACCAGGGGGCCAAGACACAGAACCAAGCTTGGAAAATATTCTGGAACCAAGGAAGCTTTGACATAGTAACCGCATTCAGCGCCGTGCTGTGGGGTGACAGACATTGGACATCGTCTGGAGCAGCTGGCAGCCCTCACAGAGTGCGGATTCCAGCCATCACTTCACAGCTGAGCTTCTCCTCAGGAGTCTGGGTCCCCTGCAGGAGTGTCTGGAGCCTGAGCCAGGCTGGGCTGGGTGGTGTGATAGCTAATCGTGATGGTCAATTCAACTGCGTTTCCAATTATCTAGAAAACACACTTCTAGAGGCATCTGTGGGGGTGGTTCCATAGAGGTTTGGCTGAGGAGGAAGGGCCCACTCTAAATGTGGGCAGAGCCATGTGGGGGAAGGCAGCCTGACTGAAAAGGAGAACAGGAGAAAACCATATCCACACCAGCAATCCCTTCCTGTTTCTCTGCGTTAGCTCCATGTAACTAACCAGTTCCAAGGGATCCAATGCCCTCTTCTGACCTCCGTGGGCACCTGCACACACATACAAACACACATACACACACACTCACACATGCACACAAACACACATATACATACACACACATAAACACACTCATACATACATACACACACAAGCACATATACAACATATACACATATACATACACACACCAACACGCATATGCACACACCACACACACAAATTTAAAACTAAAAATGTCCCTCATGTGTCCCTTAGTGAAAGGCAGATGTGTGGGCACCCTTCAGTTCTGCCTCAGAACACATCACACAATTTAGAAGTGGCCCAGATGTTACCCATAGCAGTGAACCTCAGTTGGAATATGGGGATCTAGAGAAAAAAACAAATCTTTTCTGTACCCTGGAGTCACCTTCTCCACAAGGAATACACCCTTCATTCTCCATGCCTTTCACTCTCCCTGTCCCCAATTTTCCATACACAGGCAGATAGACAGACAGACACTCTTCATATCCCCCACCCTCCATACCCCTCACCACGCCCCCACCCTCCATACCCCTCACCACGCCCCCACCCTCCATACCCCTCACCATGCCCCCACCCTCCATACCCCTCAATGTCCCCACAACTAGCCTGAACAGGTATCATATTCCCCCAAAGTGGACTCACTCCAGTCATTGTGGTGGCTCCAACTGGTCATTTGGCTCTGCACTTCCCGGCACCCAGCAGTAGCAACGGACACCAGCTGATTTATCCTAGGCAGCTAATTAAAAGAAATCAATTTTTTTTTTTGGTATATGTATTGGGTTTTTTTTAGAGCTCACATAACAAAATACCACAGATCGAGCAGTTTAAAATAACTGAACTTTACTTTCTTACAGGTCTGGAAACTGGAAACCTGAGACCGAGGTGTTGACGAGTTTGGCTTGTGGGAGGCCTCTTCCCCTTGGCTTGCAGACAGATTCCCTCTTGTTACCTGTTCACATGATCTGCCCTCTGTATGTGCCCTGCTGGTGTTTTCCCATGTGTCCGGCCTTCCTTTGTTAGCCAGAGTTCTATTCCTGTGGCAAATCTCTGCAATAAGCCAATGAAGGAGGAGGAAAAGGTCACTATGGCTCAGTTGGGGTGGGGGGGTGTCAGGTTCTGGTCAGGTAGCCCATTGCTCTGGGCCCCTGGCAGCACATCAGGTAGAAGGGTGGGGCAAATATCTCTTTTATCCCGGGGGCCCAAAGAAAGGGAGAAAGAAGGGGCAGGTTCCACTTTCTTCCAGCACCCTCAGAGAGTAGCAAAGCTCCCATGAGGCGCTTCCTCTTAAAGGACCACCAGCTCTCGAAGGCACCCCATGGGCAGGAATCCTTCAACACCAGGTTCTGGGTTCAGATTCAAACTTAAGCATCCTCCCTTAGGACTCCTCTGGCCAGTCTGGATTTAGGATCCACCCACAACCTTATTTTAAAGACCCCCATCTTCGATCACCCACAGTTTGGGATGTTGAGATCAGAATCCATAGAGGATTCGTGAGGTTACACAGTTTGGGCTCTCACTGGGTGGTGCTCATCCCGGCTATCAGTTTGATCGGATCTAGAGTCCACTAAGAGACGGGGCACCTCTGTGAGAAGGTACCCGGGGACAGCATCTGTCTGGAACAGTAGCCTAGACAGAAAGAGCTCAGAGGACCTCATCTGCCTGCCTTGGTTTTCTGTTTGTTTTGGTTTGGTTTTGAATACAGAATGTCACTCTATGGTCCTGGCTGGCCTGGAGCTCCGTCTGTAGGTCATGCTGGCCTTACACTCCCAGTAGGATATGTATCAGCGCTCCCAGACTGACTTTGTTCCTTCCCAGTAAATGTGTTCTTCCCATTCTGCTGCTGACCTTGGCACCCATCTTCTTTGGCTTCTGTGCAAGGACAAAACACCAGCGACTCTGCAGGATTCCTCGGACCTTCAGCACCAGATGGGGGCTGCTGAGGTAACCAGCCCGGGGGACTGAGAAGTAGCTCCTGGGTTCCCAGCCTCTCACTAGCACACAGACCATTCTGGGCTATGTGCATCCTTGGGCCAATCTAATCAAT